TTTAAAAAGTACAATTATGATATTGATATTCCCAAAAAATATACTATCAAAAGGGTAATTTTGGAAAATCAACTTTTTTCAAATGTAATAAGTGTATTACTAAAAAAAGTTAGATTTTCCGAAAGGAACAAATATTTTGGAACGAAAAGAGTATATATAAATAAATAAATAAAGTGAAAGGAGTCATTGAACCCCCAACCTTGACTAATGTGCGTATATATGCAACGTGAAATGTGTAGGTTGGGAATAAAAAATAAAAGAAAGAAAAGACAGTGAGAGGTATGGGGTTAGAATTGGGGGTTAGGGATTGCATCGATAATATGTGGGAGGAAGAAGAGGAGCAAATTCGGGAGTGCGGGGGGTCAGATTCCGTATGGGAGAGACTGAGGAACCATCCCATCTACTCACCACCACAATCTCCCACCTCCGTCTTCCTCATCCATTGGTATTTCTCCTAACCTTTCTATTGAAAATGTTTTACTTGTTGATGGACTAAAGCATAACCCACCTTGTGAAGCTAGAGTATAGTGGAAAATCTCAAGTGAAGCTTGAGGAGTGGACATAGGCCGAGTTGAAGCTGAACCACTATAAATTTGTTTGCCTCTCTCTCCCTTATCTCTTTATTTTATTTTAAATTGCCATAGCTATATTTCAAATTTTTACTATGCTAAAATCATTAACTGACATAGTTGTTAAGACATTTTTTTTAATTATTTTTATTTCATTAATTATATTTATCTATTGTGCTAGTCATAATTTTTATTAGAGTATTATTAATTTTAATTGTAAAAACCTAATTGACCCCCACTCTTACCAAAGTGACACGAGCCATAAACTATAGGGACTGTTAGTATACTTCGCCTAAGTTTTAATGTTGTCTCTATATACACCATTATTTTTCAAATAATACCAAATTATCCCCTTCTCTAGCAAACCCTAACTCTAGCTAATTCATTGTCGACCGTCAGTTGCTACTCTCTCCCTTCCGATTAATGCCTACTCCACAACATCTATTTCCTCCCATCGCAACCTCCCTCTTCTCTTGCCGCAACCAGCACTTACCTAGTCGTGTCGTCCCTCTACCACCCTTCTCCCATCCCTGTGACCCCTACCCCTTATTTTTCTTATTCTTTTCATCATCGAGATCTGAAAACCTTTGAGTTTTCTTTCTTTCTCTCTACAATAGAGAAAAGTATAGAACTGCATTGCGATGGAGAACATGTGGAGGTGGCTCGCAATTGCTGAGGCGAGGGCAGAGTTGTTCGAGATAACAGGAGCGGGGTTGTTTTGCGGTGGTGAAAAGTCGTTAGTGGCTGCAATGGTGATTGGGAAGGGGTGTGGTGGTAGTGGCTGGCAATGACGGTCGGAGGTAGGAATTAGACAACGGAAGAGAGAGGCAGTCACCCATGGTGATAGTGGGGTACGGGGAGAGTGTATTGAGAGATTAAGATTGTCTAAAATGGTAATTTGATTAAGGGACAAAAATGTAATAAAAACTATAGTGATGGTGTATATTGAGAGAGATTGTGGTGGTGTGCAAATAGAATTACCCTTAATTGTTTTTCAATATAGACCTTGGTGATGAAAATGGGTGGCGCTAGTAGTCTTCACTTTTTTTCTAAGGACCCTCTATTTCTTTGAATCCCTACTTATAAAATTTAAACATTGATAAAAATTTTAAGGATCCGTATATAATATCAAAACTATCTCTCATCCAAAATATTATACACCCACCTAAACTGTCATTACAACCCCATACCGATTTTCCCCCCAATATCTCATCAACACAGAGCCCATAAACAAATGAGAGTGAAGAAAAGGAAAAGAAAATCTTGAGAGATTGAAACCTAGATAATGAAAATGAGCCTTCCTCACAGAGATGGGAAGTTTCTGACGGTGGTCGTCTCTGTATACACAAAAAGAAAAAAAGAAAAAGAAAAAAGAAGTCCATGATTTTATCTCCATCTCCAAAAATCATTAACCCGACCGGAGTGTTTGTATCTTTTCAGGTGACTAGCTGAGGATCACTAGCGTCTCCCAGGATCTGAAGAGTATTTCCAAACCACTTCTCCACAGACGGCTATAAATTCAAATGAATACAACGGCTATAATTTTCATTATATATACCAAAGCCTCTAATGTAAACAAGTTACAAAAAAACCTGAAAATATTCTTTGATCTATAATCGCTCACATCTATTCTCAGAAATTATACACTGAGCCTTATAGCTTTAAGCCTATCTTTCCTGTGTGAGGTTTACAGAAAAATCAAAACTTCATTTTTATATCTATCTTTGAGAGATATTTATTGTAAACTTTCATTGAAAGCAAAAATACCATTTTATCTTGTAAAAGTGTTGCAAACACTGTGTTCTTGAAATCTTAAGAATGGTTGTGAATCACCTAAGATTTGCAAGGGTTTGGACTTATGAAGTCTGTGTAAAATCCATGGAGGATTGCTCCATTTATAAAGAGGTTGTTAGCACCCCTGTGAAGCTAGAAGATAGTGAAAAATTTCAAGTGAAGCTTGAGGAGTAGACATAGGTTGAGTTGAAGCCGAACCACTATAAGTTGTTTGCCTCTCCCTCCCTTATCTTTTTATTTTATTTTAAATTACCATAGCTATATTTCACATTTTTACTGTGCTAAAGTCATTAACTGATATAGTTGTTACGATACATGTTTTAATTATTTTTATTTCATTAATTATATTTATCTATTATGCTAGTCATAATTTTTATTAGGGTATTATTAATTTTAATTGTAAAAACCTAAGTCACCCCCTCTTAGGTTGTCTTTTGGGTAACACTTACAACGGCTCCTTACAACGGCGAAATGCTATTTTTTAATGCTCTACCATTGGTGTCAGTTTTTCAACTTTCCACTTATTTGTGAGCACCAAGTCTACATCATTTGTTACAGGCAATCAACGACACGAGATACCCTATTCAATATCCTTGCAATGTTTGAAATTGAAGCAAAAGTCTTCGAATGCGGAGCAAGAAAGCCTCTGAATACGGAGCATTTTTCATGCTTGGCATGGAGTGTCATCAGCAAAAGTCTCTGAATGCAGAGCAAGAAAACCTCCGAATACGGAGTGCCCTTCATGCTTGGCATGGAGTGCCATTAGCAAAAGCCTTCGAATACAGAACCTCAGAACGCCCTTCGTGCTCGGCATGAAGCGCCATCAGCAAAAGCCTCAAAATTCAGAGCAAAACATACATACATTTATATATACATTCAAGTATACATGCTATCATACAGTCATTCATTTCATTCATTTATCCAAAGTATTCTTTATCAAGTAACCTAACATTTATTTGACCAGCGTAGTTCGGCAACAAAAACTCTCATTCCTTCTACTACAAACAATGAAAGTTTTGGGGCAATTGTGGGAGCCTAGAAAAAAAACTAGCTCACTTGGGTCCAACCCAAACAAGTCTTAAAAATGGCCCAAGACCAACAAGTAAGCCCACCAAACAAATATCTACCAACACCCCCCATTTCTATAAAAGGGGGGCATTCTAAGGAATAGAGGTATGCCTCATATTTCTATACCACACAACACACTCTACTCTTCATTTCTTTATCTTCTTTCTTGGATTCAAGTTGCTAACTTTATCATCGGAGTGCCTTTGGTTGGCAACCCCGGTTGGGTGGCACTGACCATGTTTATCTTTGCAGGTTTATGGGGCAAAGCTCATCTCTTCGTTGGATCTCTACAATCCACGTGAGAGGATTTTCTGAGTCTCACATTAATATTTTTTGAATTTTAAAGGGGTATTAAATGAATTTAGCCCTTTTAACAATTATATTTAAATTATTGACAAAATTTAATTTTAGGTGTTTTTAACTTTTTTAATAATGATAGAATTTAAACCTTAAAAAAGGATAAAAAAGGATATATTTAACTTTCTTATTTTATTTAGGGGGACGCACCAATAAATCCCAAATTAATAACTTATGCACTGTTTAGTCCTAAAAGTTTTCTTATAGACTGAAAGGTCCCATTACAATGTTAATAACATCAGATACAATGTTAATAACGTCAGAGTCATGTTACAAACATTGGATTTGAAACATCTAATGTTCATCAAATTTCAATAATGTTTGAAAATATATGATGAAAAACATCTAATGTTCATCCGATTTCAATAAATTTTGAAATTATAAAATGAAACATCAGTTCATTTACATCATTCACATCATGTTGATGTAAAAATAGGACTAAATGGAGCATAAAAAAATTTTTAAGACTAAATAGTTCAACGTTTCAAAAACTAGGACTTATGGGTAAATTTTCCTTTTATTTATTTATTTTGTAACTAAATGATATAAATTTTAAAATAAAATTTTAAGGATGGAAGTCATACTAATAAAAATGCAAAGCGCTATCTCAATAAATAAATACCGGTCGCAGCGCCGGATTACCAAAGCGGCTCCGATTCCATGTCCGAGAAAGAGAATCCATTGCAGGCTATCTTTCAGACCTTCGAGAAAATCTCTCATGGCGTTCGAATCTACTTTTCCCAGTTTGCCTGCCTCACAAACAACAATTACCCATCACCCACAAATGGGCGGCCTCTCTTTTCTCTCTCTTCGTCCTTCAAAGCGAACCCATTGATCGCAAGCGAACATTCTACTCTTTTCCAACCAAAGGAGATCCTCAATGAGGTACCCAGTTCTCTTTTCATTCTAAATCTACTTATTTCATTGTATTCGGCTTGAAGTTCATAATTTCAAGTGTTCTTGTTGATTGGTATTGAAAGATAGAGAGCTGAAGCATGAAGCTCTGTAACTGTTCGATAAAAGTCCTGAATGGAGAGTCTGAAATGAATTGTTTGTATTGTTAACATATTCGTGTTTTGAGTTTATTTATTTATTTTTTTTGAGGGGGGCTGAAGTTGAATTTTAATTGTGAAGAATTGTATAATTTCCAAGTGTTCGGGCTGAAATTAGTATTAGCCCCTTTTGTGTTCAAGCTTGCTTTCTTTATTTCATGATATTGTTTTACATTGTCCTTTGGAGTTTAGACAGAAGATGAAGCAAAAATGGATGGCTAAATGGGGGAGGAAGGTAAAGAAAGAGAAATAGAGTGGTGGTCCATCTATTTGCTTGGATGTTTAGTGAGAAGAAAGACACACAATGAGAGTGAAAGCATTTTGATGAATGAAGAACCAAATAAAGGATAGGAATATTCTATTTTCTGAGTCATATGGAAAATTTAGAAATCACTAGAAAAAAGGGTCACAGGCAAAGCCATCTACCACAAACTAATTTATCCTAATCTGCCAAATCCTTCACTTTTTTGGGGAAAGAATAAGTGGATTTGGATCGATCATGCCTTCCTTCTTTATTTTCTTTATCGTCAGAACAATTTGAGTGTCCAAGTAGATCTTTCCTTCCTTCTTTCTTTCTTTTTTTTTTTTTTTTTTTCCTTTTTAAACTTTACTTTCACTCCTATGATGTCCAACAAAAAAACATTATTAGTTCATAATCCCATTAGTAGCGCCCTCCTGTTTGCTGATGGGAGGGCAATGAGGTTTGGAGGTTGATGCCACTCTAGGTAGGACATACAATTTCGTTGTTTATGTCAAGCCAATTTGCAGTCATACGCAACTATTGATGCCTTGAAACTTGCATCATAGTCTTCATTAATTCAATGCATTTTAGAGGAGCATGGTAGTGTGTTTGGATGGGGTTGCATTCTAAATGAACTTGTTGAATGGAATTGTATTTTATCATGATTGTCTCCAATAGCAATGTTTCTAAAACATTATTATTATTGTTTCGATTGAAGTACTACTAAAACATTATTATTCATGCATGATGAAGGTAATATGAACAATGAGTGTAAATCCAAAAAGCAACAATCCGAGATAAACATTGGAGAACACATTTCTTCTAAAAGTTATTGTTTTACATTATGTAGAGATTACCAATTTTCTTGTGATGCAACGATACATATAGAGTATTGGGTTTTTTATTTTTTACTTTAAAGATCTATTGTCGGACTCGGTTGTTTTAAATATTAAGTCTAAATAATAATAGCTGCATAAAATTTATTACGATGAGGAATACTAACTGAAAATGTGGAGTCCTGTGAGGCTCTTACTCTACCGCCACTTGTTTGTACAAAGGATCCTTCTCTTAAAACAACATTGTACTGCATTTCTTTTTGGCTCCTATTCCAACTTTGCTCTGAAAAATAGGAAGTTCTGTTTTTTTTTTTTTCCAAATACATTTTTGTCTTTTCTTCAGGGAAAATCTGCCACACCCATTACCAAAGAAGAGCTTGGCAGGGCCACCTGGACATTTCTACACACTCTGGCTGCTCAGGTCTTCTCATACAATTTCTTTGGCTGTTTTTTTTTATTTTATTTTGTTGTCATTGGACTCAAGTTTATGTTCTCCATATAAATTTCCGGTGCATGATGGATCCGTAAGTCTAAGCAAAATTGTAGTGACTCAATTAGCATTGCATATAACATATTCATTGAAGTTGTGTCTGGCTTAATTTCCCACGTGTGTATGTTTCATTCAGTATCCAGATAATCCAACTAGACAGCAAAGGAAGGATGTAAAAGAACTGGTATGATACTCCCTCACCACCTTTCTGTGTCAAAATAGCTGATCTTTAGAGCAGCATTTTCTTTTTTCTTCAACCAACATTACAAAGAATTTCCTAGTCATTGTCAATTATATTTATGTTGAAATAATGCTTTAGCAAATTTTTTTTATCTCTCTTTTTTCTTTTTCTTTCTTTTTATTTAGTTTTTTAAATTTTTGTGATAAGTAAGACACACATCCCTTTGTCCCAACTGGGGCTTAAAAATCCTACACCGTATCCTTTAGCAATTTTTATTGAAGCAATTTTGATTAAAATGTAAAATTGTTGTATCCTTTTTGGAATCAACTGAATTATAGACACTTGAATTTTAACTCTACATTTATTTATTTAAGATCCTTTGAGTTTGTATTCAAATTTGGATTTTAGTATCAGTAATTGTACTTGAATTCGGGTTTGGCCCAACTGCCCAAATTGTCCTTATTGGCTATCATAGTGATTAACTATTAAAAAAAAAAGTGCGTGCCACTATTGTGATTGACATCAACCAATTTGGCATGCAGATGGAGATATTATCTCGGATGTACCCCTGCAAGGATTGTGCAGATCACTTTAAAGAAATTCTGAGGTTTGTATACACACATACATTGTTATTCAATTTCTAGGCTTCCGTTAAACATAGAATTAATGTAAGAAGCCAATATAAAGCTGAAAGATAAAATGTTTGTGTCAAATAATCCATCCTTTTCTTTTAGGCCAGCCTCTGCATTAAGGGCTATATGGTCAACACTGTTGCCTAGCAAGTGGCAATAAGATATTCAAGCATCTAATTGCAGCTTGTCATTTATGTTTTTAATGACTATACTTAAATTAGACCGTATTTTGATTACTAGGCTCCCATTGACTGATAGAAACTTCAGATCTCCCCTTGTCTCTCTCCTTTGAGGGCAAAATTTGGCTGCCTGTTGTCCTCCTGCCCATGATTGTGAATGGCTTATTGCACTTACAATGGCATTAAAAATTTTAATTATCTAAAATAAAGCAGGAAGAATTTAGAAACAATTCTTTTGATGCAAGTGACCAAGAGTCATGTGGCCATCTTGATGCCCACTGATGAGTTTAAAATTGGGCCCCACAAATAGTACCTTGGACTTGCATGTGTGACACACTTGTCGCTCACTTGGCCACCTGCACATAAAGAACTATACCAAGTTTTATCCAAATTGAGCAATTTAGGAAAATTGAAGACTTCACAATTTGTGTTGTGCAATCATTTTAGGTTTCCTTCAATGGGACTAAGAAATCTGAATTGGACATCCAAACATGCAAAAGGATAGGAGTCGATAATCAAAGTGAGCATTAAGAACATATATGTCATTGCTCCATCTTTATTTAGAGCCCGTTTGATTGTCTGGATTGGATATAAGAATTTTAGGAGGATATGTAATCCCTAAGGATAAAGATGGGATATAATATGTTGTAGGATATAAGATGGATTATATAAACTGTAGGGTCACTTATACTATGTTTGGTTAAGATATAATAGAGGATGAGACAAGAGGAGAGTGGTTATTTTTGACCTTTGGATGAAAGATGAACTACATTTGACGGTGGGGGATATACAATACCATGGGGGGTTGGTATTGCATGTCCCCTCTTTTGCATCATTTATTATCTGGATTTCCTATATTCGGAACAACCAAACATGGGATATAGGAGGCAAAAAAACATGTGGGACCCACCTCATATTATATCCGGTCCCACACCCATATCTGGCCTTTATATCCGATAAACAAACAGGGCCAGTGCATTATTTTGTTTCCCCCCTTTTTCGTGGCTTTTTATTTTCGGCTATTATAGCATGTCTAGGATGGAGCATTTGATCACTTTAATAAATGAGACATTCCATATTTCCTCATCATTTTTGGTCCGAGTCTCCAGTTTGTGTTGCAATACTTCACTCTGTAAGATGGTTTTGGGTCTTGAACTGCCTAGGGAAAAACACCGATAAAAGAAAATGCTAACAAATACGAAGGAATCCTTTTATATCCTTATGGTTGCCAGATTGTATATGACAATTTCACTAATTGATGAATAAACTTGGTGTTTGACAGAGCAAATCCTGTCCAGGCTGGATCTCAAGCTGAGTTTTCCCAATGGTTATGCCATGCGCACAATGTTGTTAACAGAAGGTAACATACATGTTTATAATCAGTACAATCTTCTTGTTTTTTGAGCATACAGATTCAATGACAGCCTAACTTGACAGCATATTGTGAACACTTTTACATGGTAATAAGACCATTAAATTGCTTTGTGACTTGTAAGTAGCCCTCAATTTTACCCACCACACCTGTGTGCTGGTTCTCAAGGACCAATTTATCAGTCAGAGCCCTAATTTTTTGTAAACCAGAACGTCTTACTGCCTTGGAAAATTAGTGTAGTCCTAATTTGTGGTTTGTTTGTTCCTGTAATCAACAGCCTAGGTAAGCTGGTATTCCCCTGTGAGCGAGTAGATGCAAGGTGGGGGAAGATGGAGTGTGAGCAGCGCGCGTGCGATCTACAAGGAACTACGACATTTTTTGGCGACAATATGCGTTAGAACTATGTTTGTAATTTGAATATACAGGAAATTACCAAATTATGGATATCAGTGTTTAATTGATGAGATATATTGTACATGGAAATTACCAGATTTTTGTTTTCCCTATGCCCTCAGTCCTATACCATCACTCTGTATTGGTAATTTATGATAAAAAAATATTTGTAACTTTTTAAATCACATGTAATAAACTGTATTTTAAGAAAATTTTAAGGAATGTATTTATAATTTACCTTATTTTTTTTCAAGCTTCAAGTGGGTGAGCTTAATTTACCCATTTCTATACAATATATATAAAGCATGGATCCAAAGTGAACAGTTTTTTCAGCTGAAGATGAACAGTGTTTTCTGAATGGTTGAAAAGTTGATTTTACCCTTATGCTTTATAACTTTTCTTATTTGGATGCAAGGGTATTGATGGAAAACTGACTTCGAAATTTGTTTGCTCATAGCTGTTTATGAAAATGAAAAGATCCATAGTATACCCACTCTCTATCTGTTTGAGAGATTCCTCCTTTCTCCTCTCTTCTCTTTCCAATGATGATCTCCCTCCACCGACGATGATATTCGACCACCTCCTCTCTCCTTTCATCGACCACCAATCTCCTTCGCCCTCCTCCCACCTCTCTTCTCTCACCGATCTCTCTATTTTGCCCCTTTACTTAGAAAGCCTAAAAACAAGACCAACAAAACACAAGTAACACTTGTGTTCCCTAGAGAAGACGGAGAGAGGAGAGAGAGAGAAGAAATCGAAGGAGACGGAGGAAGACCAAAGCTGTCACACTCCCTTCTCCCATCGTTCAAGTTCGCTTTTTAGGAGTTTGGGTTTTCGTGCATAAAATATCTAATTTAAATTTTTTTTTTTCTTCTCTGTTCATCGTTCCTCTTCTTGTGAAAGTAGTTTTTTTGAAATAATTTTTGTGAGTTGTAAAAAAAATTGCAAGGACCAAATTACCTATTTTTTGGGGGCTCAAATCATAATCCCAACTGAATAATAATATGATGTTTTATACCTAAATTGACTAAAGAAGATGCAACGAAAAAAAAAAAAAAAAATGTCAACGAAAAAAAAAAAAAAAAATGTGTAGATTTTTTTTGGGATCCTACCTAATAAAATCAGGGTTTCTTTATCATTATATCTTTAGGGTTTATATTGTATTTATTCTGGAATTCAATCTTATATGGGTAAAAGGTAAGGGCTAGAGATGCTCTTAGTTGTTTTTTCTTCTATAAGGTTGTTGGGAGCAAAAAATTCTATTCATATTATGTTGTTATGTTAATTGTTGTTTCTCTGGTTCGACCTTTTTATATGTTTTTAAATTTATTCGTATTAGTTTGTAGGTATTTAAAATAAATATTCATGATGTGAAGGTAATGTTTAGAGTTGTATATTGATATTTATAAATCTTCAATACTTATCTATAATTTTAGTTTTTGTGTTATTATCGTGCTAGATATATTTCTTTAGTTGGTTTTTGCTTTTCTTGGTGAGTAGAATATTTTTAACTTAGAATGGTTGTCCTTTTTATCGTTTAATTTATGTTATCTATATTATTTATGAATTCTATCAATTTTTTTAAGACTTTATAGTGGTAAATTTATGACATTTATGATTTATATTCAATTTTTGTTAATACTAAGTTTTATTACCAGAACTAACTTGAAACTCATTTGAGTCAAAACTAAGTGTTTCGCTCATGCTTTATGATATTAATAGAAATATAAAACCTTCCAATTGCAATATTAGTCATAGAAAGGTTAAAAAAATGCACAAGCTTTGCTCTCTCTTTTTGAGTTCTCTAAACCTGGAAGAGAGTCATATGTGCAAAAAATGATAATCATTCCTCTCAGTAGAGAGTTTTGAATATAATATGTTTTTTCACAAAATTTTAGATTATACTTTGATTACATTGGGGAAATATTAAAAAAAATACTTGAAAGATTTGGCTTAGTATTATTATTATTTTTATTTAACTTATTTATTTTTCCTTTCTACAAGGTACAAGCCCACCATCTCCGAAATTTATTATTTTTTAAACCATTAGCACATCGTTTAACCTTGATTTTTCCAATCATAAATTGATAAGTACTTCCACTTTCCCATCCCCAAACCGATTTTTACACCCAAAAAAATAAAATAAAATAAAAATTATGCCTATATTTTATATTAATGAAATTAATGGTTTTGTATTATATCTTTGATCTACAAATACTCCATGAAAAGCTTAACTATGTCTTGGTAAAGTTTTCCTGTATCTGCACAGTAGTCCAACTACATAATTGAAGACATGAATAACTAACTCATAATAGTTTTGTATCTTCATTGATTTTATGGTGCAGGCGAGGCAGGTAGAACACATGATGCTATTTTGATCTAGAAATTGGCATAGAGGAATTCTTCAGGTTAGGTGTTGAAACTATAATTTTGAGTCTAGTACATATCATTTGGATTCATTTGCAAAAATTTAATTTCCAATTTTAGACAGATTTTTTTGCTATTGTTTGGATTCATTTGCAAAATAATTTAAGTTGAAACTTTTCACAGATTTTTTAGCAATCATTTGGTTGTATCATGACATTCAAAATCAATTAAGAACTATTTTCTCTTTGGTTGCCAGGTGAGAAATTCCTGTTTAGTTGGAAAACCCTCATGTTATTCCTTTTGTTGGTGTGTTGTCCTATGCTTAGGAGTAATTACTAAACATTGGATTTAGAATCTCTATTTGAAACTCACTCGAGAATTAGACAATTCTTGACTTGGTTTGGGAAAGCAAAAAAAACATCTCAACTAATGATCTAACTAACATACAACATAATTTGGAAATTAAAAAAAAAATGCTTTTCCATGCTTCAAATGAAAAGAGATCTGTTAAAGCCTATCCTAAATTTGTTATTATTATTATTATTATTCTTGATGGTTGGCTACATAGTTATTGCCGTTGCTGGAACTACCATTCATCTTCAAGTGAAGGAAGATAATAGATTTTATGCAAATTTTGCAAAATTTGATTGATTCTTCGTTCTTGGTTATGTGAAGATAAAATGTTATTTTATTTTATTTTTTTACCCATGTATACTTTTGGGTTTTTATTTTTTATTCTTCTATTATTTTTGGAGCGTTGTTTAATTGTTCCTCATTGGTTTTCAACATTTGCTGGTTAGAAGAGACCTTGTTGGGTTGGATTTAGCTCAGCATGTGTCATCTTTGTATATTTTCTTTGTTATTTATTCTTTATTATTTTTCTCGCTGTGTTTCTTTTTCTTTTTCTTTTATTTTGGATATTGTTTCATCAATTCACTGGTAGAGATAAAATTATACACAAAATTCATACCCAAATCTACTATTCTATAATCTTTTGGCTACACTCATGTTTTGAGGTTGTAAATGTAATAGAAAACTCAATCAAGTTCCTAGAAATTCCCCTATAAGTAATGATATTTTCACACCTTTTCAATGTTTTTTTATTTCCTTCATAGATCACAAGGTCAGTGGTTTTTTTGGGGACAGTGATTGTTGTGCCTCAATTTGAGGTGTATTATGAGTTTATTTTTATAATCTGAACCATTCATTTTGTAGGGTTTGTTGAGTACTTCATGCCTACCAAAAATCATATTAATCAGATATCAATGACTATATGATCGATAACCAAAAAAATAAACAATAAATTTTTCTTTTGAGAAATAACATAAAAAATATGCAATTCGATCATATAATTATTGATATCCGACTAATATGATTTTTTGTAAGCATGAAGTACTCAACAAATCCTACAAAATGACGGTTCGGATCATAAAAATAAACCCATAATACACTTCAAATTGAGACACAACAGTCACTGTTGTGCCTTTAGCACAACAGTAACCCCATTTCCTTTTTTTTGTTATTTTTTTGGAACTCTAGAAATAGCAATAAATGTAGGAACTCATAAATTGAATACAAAATCAAACATAGAATACATGTTTTAACATAACTTTACAAGGTGTGGCCATACCTAATTTTTTTTTTGATTAATATGTTATGTGTCCAACACTATATTTGATTTGTATGTTCTTAGATTCATTGTTAAAAGATAGGCCCTGGTGAAATAGTGTGGGTGTGGGTGAGTATAATATTGCATGGAGGCAAAATTTTCATCATAAAAGGTATAGTTGACCTTTACTCTTTGCCTTTGGGCTTTGGTTGAAATCTCAATAATAATAGTGCATTTGATTTGATTTGTACTATAATAGAAGCAGCTTTTAATAACTTGTGTTCACATCATTTTCCCCCCCAAAATGCTTTAAATTATTAACATCCATAGCATTTTTTTTTTTCAAAAGCTATGATAATTATAATTAATAGAAATATTTTCTTTTTAACCTATTAACCCAACATATTTTTGCGTTTTAAAAATGTGAGCCCAAACTATTAAAAAAATAATGCAAAAATTCTCCTTCCACACGACAATCTCTATCAATTTCAAATCTTCAAATATTTCTTCCTCTATCTTTCACGATTTGCTAGGATTGCTCCCCCCAAGTCTTCTATGGTTCCATATTTGTTTTTCTTCAATTCAAAATGTTTTTTTATTCTTTTTGCCTTTTTTTTTTCATATAATATTTACGTGTATCAAGATTGACCTTTACCCTCTTGTTTGTTGTTTCTATGTTTACCCCCTCCTATTGGTGAAGAAGCATTGCCATATTGTATTGTTGCATATTTCATGGTTGAAAGGTCATTTCATTATCTTGTGTGGAGAATCCTCAGTTCACTAGGTTTAAGTTGTTATGTTTGAAAAAATTTCCTTCACAAATCCAAGACTTGCATTTCAATTCTCCTTCATTACATTGTAAAATTGATTTTTTTTTTTTTTGAAGGTATTCTATGGCTTAATATTGATTTCTTTTGTATTGTTATGCATGAGCTACTAAGATATGATAGAATAAATTTTTTTAAGGACACACTGGTCCATGTTTACAAACTATGTTTGATTTCCTCCAATTTGTTTTAATATCATTGAAAGTAGCTGATCATTGTGAAACCACATGCCACTGCCAATATTTTTCCTAAATTACAAAAAAAGTAATTCATTAGGGCTCTAATTTTTAAAGCTATAACCAGTAAATAATTTCTTTAAAAAATTTATTTTGGATATGCATATGAAGACCTGGTGATGATGCTAAATTTTTGTAGAGAATTTTGTAAAGAACTTTGCAAAGTATTTTGA